TTTGGAGCTTAGGGTTCCACAAGGGTTTGAGGGTTTAGGGTTCAGGGTTTAGGGTTTATTAGGGTTTAGGGTTTATTGGGGTTTAGGGTTTACCCGTAGCCGAAAAGACCTACCCCGCTTCAGCGCTCCTTACTATGGTTTCTAGATATGGTTCCTTGAGAAGGTAGGTCTTCGAGGTTCCCCAGTAGCCCCGTCGGGTACTACTGGGGAACCTAGATTATGGTTTCTATATGTTTGGTTCCGTGAAAATTTAAAAGGTAGGTCTTTTGGGCCACAGGTAGTTTTCTAAGGGCCGAACCCTAAACCCTAAACCGAAGCTGCTTTAGGATGTGAGGACTTGGGCTGCTACAGTTTGGGCTCGGGGACAGTTTAGGGTAACGGAGTGCATCCTAAATCCTGGACCCTACATCCTAAACCCTAAACCCTAAACATCCTAAACCCTAAACCCCAAAATCCCAAACCCTAAACCATAAACCCTAAAACATCCTAAACCCTAAACTCTAAACATCTTAAACCCCGTGCTACAGTTGGGGCTCGGGGGCTTAAGGTTGGAAGCGAGTTATAGTGCTTGTTTAGGAGAAGCCCTACACCCTGAGCCCTGGGTTTAGGGTTTAGGGTTTAGGGTTTAGGGTTTAGGGTTTAGGGTTTAGGGTTTAGGGCAAAATCAGGGCCTTTGGGTTGCAGCAACTTGGGCAGTTTGGGTCCGATTTCGATTCAGGGTTATTTAGGGTTGTAGGGGGTTCAGGGCTCCGATTTCGGTGCTCTTAAGTAGTGAAAACCGGACTGATGACTTGAGAGAGACTATAACCTTCATAGACACATCATGCGGTTTACGGTTCAGGGTGTAGGGTCTACGGTTAGGCCACCTTCTGAAGCTCGTCTTGCATCGCGTCCGCGCCAATCATCACTTGGTTGACCTTTCCCGATCCGGTCTCCGTTTCACAAAACTCGATGCCATATTGTCTTCACTATAACGGTCAGTGCTGCCAGGCTTACTGCTATACAAGCTGCTGTGGTTGCAATGCTCAGGTGTGCAATATTGTTACACAAGCACTGCCAGTGTAATTGCCCTTTTTGCTGCTACATTGCTATTCCTACCGCCGGTTCCCTCACCATTCGCAATACAGTCTAAAATGGCATGTGTTTACCACTCTCCAACACATCCAAACAGCTGAGGCCTTCGCCAAAATTCATTTTTAGGATTGCTAGGGATATGTTTGGTCGGTTATAATGAAGACACCATGTCGGGATGAGATGTTCGAAGTGTCTGACGTCTGCAAGTACGAAAGCGTGACGATTTCATGGTGATAGCGCTGAAGGAAGCTTCGTCTTTAAACCTTGATTGCAGTTTCGGTTTGGAAGGTTTTCTGGCTTGCATAAGCCCTACTGTACTTAGTTGCTGAGTTCATAAGCCCCCCAAAAAGTGTACATACTTTCAGTTCTATAAGGGATCATGTTATCCCAAAAAGTGTAAAGTGTACTCACTAAGCTACTAAGTGTAACATGTTAACCCGGGATCTGCTACACCAAACCCTTTGAGCCTAACGCAATACAGGATTTGGGATCTCAATTCATGCATAGGCTCCCTACTCAGCTACTCATCTATCGCATATATAGCTCTGGGTTTAGTATTTGGGGTAGTTTTGCTCCTTGCGCTCTGGGAACCTGATAAAGAAACCCTGGTTCTACGACCCCCAAAAATTCGGGAGCAAATATGAATAATCCAAACGAAAAGACACAAGATTTCTCAATCGGGTTCCTACATTAGGGGGTTGGGCTGCGTCGGGAGTCTGTCATCAACCGCTACGACGTCTCATACCGCACAGGAAAGGAAATCTCACCGTTTTCCAATATAGAGGCAACAATAGAAAGAATAGGGTTTTGAGAGGCAACAATAGTTAGAATAGGGTTTTGGAGCAACCCCCGAAATAGTCTGGGTAGCTGTTTAGGCGCCTATACTACAGTGCAAGAGAGATGATTCCTTTCCGGCGCTCCCCCTGTACCCCCTAATGGCATCACAATTACAACTCAAGGCTCAGATGAAATATCTCTGGCATGGAGTCTGCATAGCCGATGCTAGGTGCATGGGTGAGGGGCCGTAGCGTCGGCTTCAGTGCTTTGACATGGAAGCCAGGGTGCTTGGACGATGTGGTCGTGCTTCTTGATTTGCCTCAGATCACCCTAGCACTGAAAAGCCAGAGAGTTAGGTCGGTGAGGCCTCAAAGGCAGTACTACGAAATATCGCCAAGGGTCCAAAGGGCCCAGTAAAGTTACTTGGATTTGCGCATTAAGATCGTAGTTGGCTAGATCAGTCTTTTCGGGAACATCCGATGATAAGTTGCAAGATACTTGGGTGCATGCTCTGCAAGCCCCTCACTTTGAACCACAACCTGCAAACTATGTACCTACCTGGATCACAGCATATCCCACGTCTGTCTCAGTGCTGCAAGCTGCAGGGACGGCATGGAATTGTTCCAGTCCTCAAGGTCAACAAGACCAAAGACTGAATGTGACCAAGCACGGTGCCCTTTATGAGTTCCATGAAGTTTCCATAGAATGGGCGAAAAAGAACAGAACGGCTGAACTGGGAACTACCGGGAAAGATCATCATTGATCGCTCGCTCGGAACCCTAACGTGTCAGTGATCTGTGGTGATGTCAATGTGCATCGCATGCCCCCCATGATAATGAGACCCTAAACCCTACCCCAAGTGGCTCAAAGACCTTAACCGGACTAACCCTAAAGCACCCTTAACACTGCAATTAGGTGCCTGTAGAACACTGGCAACACCCTTTGCAACTACGGAATCGCCTAGACACCCCTAACCCTAAATCCTAATCGCCAATCCCAAACCCTACAGAAAAAAAAGAAACAACTGCAATATCCTGAAAAGGAAACCTAAACGCTACACTTCAAACTTGAACCTCATTCAGCATCTTTCAAGACAAAAACCTCCAAGCACCCCATAAAGCCGAGCAGCACAACATAATGCAGGGGCCTTGGCAATTGTTCTATTCAATGTCCAGGCTTCTACATTACACAACGCCCCGAAAAAAAAAAAAAANNNCCCTAAACTCTTAACCCTGAACCCCATCACACCCTAAGAAAAGCCCCGTCCTTGACTCGGCCTTCGCCGACCTCGCGAACCTTCAAGGTGAGCCCATCCTCAGCCCAAGTGGCGTAGGGCTTCTTTATAAGGCTCTTTGGAAGGGCTGGGGGCTTTTTGTAGGGCTTTCTTTAAGGGTCTAGGGTTTAGGGTT